TGACTCCACACCAGGAAGACAAACAATCCAATTAAAAACTGGGCAAAGGACTTGAACAGACACTTCTCCAAGGAGGACATACAGAGGGTCCAGAGACATATGAAAAGATGCTCAGTATCACTAGCTATCAGAGAGATGCAAATTAAAATCACAGTGAGATACCACTTCACACTGGTAAGAATGGCCATCATAAACAAATCAAAAAACAAGTGTTGGAGACGTTGTGGAGAAAAGAGAACCCTAGTGCAATGTTTGCAAGAGTGCAGACTGGTGCAGCCACTGTAGAAAACAGTATGGAATTTTCTCAGAACACTAAAAATGGAACTGCCTTTGCTAAGGTTCCATTGCTAAGGCTATATCCTAAGAACCCTGAAACACCAATCCAAAAGAACCTATGCACCCCAATGTTCATAGCGGTGCAATTTACAGTAGCCAAGTGCTGGAAGTAGCCTAGGTGCCCATCAGTAAATGAATGGATCAAAAAACTATGGTACCTTTACACAATGGAATTCTATGCATCAGAAGAAAGAAGGAGCTCCTACCCTTTGCAACAGCATGGATGGAACTGGAAAGCATTATGCTAAGCAAAATAAGCCAGGTAGTGAAAGACAAATACCATATGATCTCACCTTTAACAGGAACCTAAACAACAAAACAAACAAACAAGCAAAATATAACCAAAGACACTGAAATAGAGAACAGGCTGACAGTGACCAGAGGGGAGAGGGGAGGGAATTTCAGGGGGAAAGGGGAAGGGTTTACAGGAACAAGGATAAAAGACACATGGACAAAAACTAGGGTGGATGGAAATGGGAGGGAGGTAGGAGAGTTGGGTGGGTGGGCTGGAATGGGAGTAAAAGACAGAAAACTGTGCTTGAACAACAATTAAAATAAAATTTATAAAAATATTGAAAAATAAATAAATAAGTAAGTAAAACAAACAGTGGTACATTTACACAATAGAATACTATGCAGCAGAGAGAAAGAAGGAGCTCCTACCCTTTGCAACAGCATGGATGGAACTGGAGAGCATTATGCTAAGTGAAATAAGCCAGTGAAAGACAGTGAAAGCCAGTGAAAGACAAATACTATGTGATCTCACCTATAAGTGGAACCTAATCAACAAAACAAATAAGCAAGCAAAATACAACCAGAGACATTAAAATAAAGAACAAACTGACAGTAACCAGAGAGGAGGGGGGAGAAGGATAATAGGGGATAATAGGGATAGGGCCATCAAGGAACACGTATAAAGGACATATGGACAAAGCCAAATGGGGTAGGTTCAAGGGTGGGAGGTGGGGATGGGTGGGGCAGGTGGCCGTGGTGGGGTGAAATTGGAGACAACAGTATTTGAACAACAATACAAAAATAAAATAAATAAAAAATGAATAATATAATAAGTGAAAAATGTAGTCTAAAACTACCTATACCATATGACACTGATTAAAATTCTATTTTGCATTGAAAAGACTGGAATCATATAAAAGTATTTTAATATAATGAACATGATTTTCACTGTGTAATAAATAATATTAAAAATGTTTTTAAAACATAATAAACTTTGTGTTTCAGGTACTCACAACTGTAAACCTACTTTTGCCCAACTCTGTATGCATATGTATGTATAGGTTGTATGGTACTGTTCTACTTGTTTTTAACTTTTATACTGTATGTTTTCTCTTGCAACTTGCTCTTTTTGTACAGCATTATATTTTTTAGTATATCCATGTAGCTCTAGTTCTGTTGTTTTTAAAGCTGTTTATATGGTGTTCATTTTGTGACTATGCCGTCAAATTTCCATTGTCTCTTAGTAGACATTTATATTGCCACCAGTTTTCACTATTATAAACATTACAAAAAATATTATTGTAAATACTATCTTCATATATACATGAGCAAGAGTTTCTCCCTGGGGTGGAATTGCTGGGGCATTGAGTGTGTGTCTTCATCTTTACTGGTTATTGCCAAATTGGCCTCCACATTGGCTGTAGCACTTTGCCCTGCCACTGTCACTGTGAGGGTTTTCATTGCTCTGTCTCCTCACCATCACAATGGTTTGGCCATATTGTTATCCCCCAGCTGTAACCATGGCAATGGAGGAAAGTAGCTGAATTCTGTCACTATGGAGTATTATTACATTTTCACCTTTGCTCATTTTATACACCAAAAAAAATGTGTTGATGACATTTAAATATATTTTGATTCTTTTTTCTAATTATAAAAGTAACACAAATTATTTTAGAAAGTTTGAAAAATATAGGCAAAAAAAGAATAGTCCTCCTTTGACCCCACCACTCAAATACAATACTAAATAATATATGATATTTATTAAATTCTTACTACATGCCTAAGACTGTTTTAGATATCTGATATTTCCACAGACAGGATTCATGGATAGGTTTTAACATATATGATATATAAATAAGTATGACTCATATACATATGCATATATTTCACATTTACAAAAAGGTACCTACTTTTTTATAAACTGTTTTCCCCCCTAACAAATAAGTCACAACAATTTTCTCATATTATCTGTATTCTGGACTGGAAGGTGTTATTTAAAGACTTCCACATTCATATCCATCTGTCTCCTCTCACCATCCAGACACAAAAGACCAGACTGAGCTCAGTCTTAGAGAGCTGGCTTGCTGCTGCATTGAGTACTGGGGAAGCCAACTCCCATCTCTGCCTCAGGGCCTTTAGCTGGGGACCACACACCCTATTTGTCTGTGAGACAACAGCATGCAATTCCTTTTAGCTACTAGCTCTCTGGTGTCCTCCTCCCATACTCCTTTAGGTTTTTCTCACCACTAATGCCCTTCAATGTAAACACATTACCTTCATCAGCAGCCTCTTGCATTCTCTGTTCACCTTCAAAAACACAAAATTGATCCATGGCAAGATTGATATTCCATTCTCTTATGTGCCCTGGCCCACTTGTACACTTGAGGACATGAACTATATTTGGATTTAATCCAGCTTCCATGTCAGAGAAGAGTCTGCAATAGATGTATCATTTTTCACTTAGACTATCACGATAGCTCTTACTCCCTCAAATTTTGCCTTTCTCTCAACCACACTACCCCTCCACAAATCCATTCATATAGCTGTAAGTGAGCTTCCTAAAAATCCATTCTGATTATGCTATTTCCCTGCATAAAATGGTCCAATGTGTCACCATGGCCTACAGGATCAAGCCCAATTGCTGCCAGGCTCTCTGTGACCTCCACTGCTGGCTCCTCTAGCCATTCCACCTGCCACACTCCTGCTTCACTGTGTTTTCTAGTAATTCTGAGTTGTTGTTCTCTGCTCTCCTGATATCATTTAACACCTTTGTGCCTTTATATGTACTGCTTTTCCTGTCTAGAATATTCCCCCTACTTATCTGCCTGGGGAAGTTCTACTCATTTTTCAAAGTCCTAATCCAAAGATATTCTCACAAACTCAAAGTACCACCCTACATATTTCTTATTAGTTAAACAGAGGAAAAGTTTCCTTAACAATGTGGAAACCTAGCTAATGCTACTTTAACTAGGTGGTCAAAATTATCACCATAATTATTAATAGGACAAAGAGATATCATATGTCCCCAATGCAATGTACTGGGAATGACACATTCTGGTAGTATTTTTGCCAATTGAAAGACATTATGCAAAACTGGCCCCAGCTCTTTAAAGATGTCAATGTCAGAAAAGACCAAAACAAAACAAAACAAAACAAAACAGGCTTGGAAACTGTTCCAAATTAAAAGATGATAAAGAAGCATGAAAAATAAATGCATTGTGTGATCCTCGATTCCATTCTGGGTCAAATGGAGTGGAGTTGGTGGGGGGAAATCACCCACAGATAACATTATTGGAAAAATTGGTGAGTTTTGCATATGGATTATATATTAGATAATAATGTTGGGTCAATGTTAAATTTTCTGAGTATGGTCATTGTATTGTGGTGATATAGGAGAATGTACTGTATTTGTTCTTAGGAGATATGTACTGAAGGGCCAACATGTTGCTGTATCTACAATTAACAAGCAATGGTTCAGCAAAAAGAAGCAAGCAAACAAGTATGTGTTTGTATGTCTAAACAGAGAGAAAAAGGGAATGTGGTAGTGAAGTGTTAACAACAGAGGAATTATAGATGATGGGTAAAGGAATGTTCATTGTTCTATTCTTCCAGTTTTTCTCTGTTTGAAATTTTTCAAAACAAAAATTTGGACAGCTTCTCTGCCAGTGGAGTAGCCTCCTCTCTGTCTCACTGCTTCACTAATAAACTCTCTTTCACTTAAAAAATTTTTGACAGAATAAACAATAAATAGTAAAAATAAGCAAATGAACAAAAAGCTTTGTTCTGGGTCATGTTTTCTGTGTAGCATTTCATAACATCCCACTGCTGCCCCCACTCCTCAAACACACACATAAAACAATGAATCATCCTCTCTTCTGGACTCTTTCATGATTATCTATCTCTGTGGCCAAACTGTAAGCTCTTTGATATCTGAGCCTATGTGTTGTGTTAGATCTACACAATGCTTGAACTGTGTCTGACACAAACTGGATGCTCAGGGGATGCTTATTTAAATTAATCAGGCTGAGCCTTGAGGCTTGGATAGGCTTCAGTAAGCAGACAGAGGTGAGAAAGTTTTCTCAAGAGAAAGAAATGGCGTGAGCAAAGGTAAGGAAGCAGGAATGTGTATTTTGTATTTACCAAGAACATTTGACTTGCTTGATCAGAACTGAAGACTTATAGTGAAAATATCTAACACACTAGATTCTTAATAAAAATTTAGTGAATCAATGAATAAATGAGATTTGAAAGGCAGGCTTAGATCATATTGGAAAGGATCTTGACTGCTGTATTGAAAAATCTAAGCATTATCTAGTTCTTGACATGCAAGGTATTTTTTTCTCAGCATCCAAAATCTTTTTAATAACAAGGTAGGATCTGGGATTAGTTTTTGTAGCCACATCTGGTCTGTTGGCCTCCTGCACACTCAAATGTCCAACCCTTGGAGTGCAGGTTGGGTTCAATGTGGATGTGAGGGTTTCCTGGGGCTTTGCTGAAATGCCTCTATTCCTCTCAGCCCTTACAGGGACCTGAAAGCATGACAGTGCCACAGCACTTGGGGGAGCCCAAGGCCAGTTGGCTGAAGGTAAGGATCTTGCACCGTGCTTTGAGGATGCAGCTCCAGGAATGACTGCTCACATGAAGTGCACAAACCTTCAGTTTGGGCACCTCCTGAATATGCATGTCATTGGTTATAGTCTCTACAACCACTGAGGTTTTGCCCTCGCTGCCAGGAAGCTTCTTCTTTCAGATCATCCAAGAAAGGGACAGAAGCAGCCTGCTGGTGTTACTCATGAACAATATCTTCAGCACCACTTGGTTGAAGGTGGGGTTGTTTCATCTGGCCAGAAACCTGTATTGCTTGACCAACAGCCTTAGGTATATGTCCTGGCTCTTGGTCTGCCTGAACTGAACCTTTTGGTCTTTGTTGTGGCAAATGTCGACTTGTCATTATGGCACCTTCTGTTCCACCAAGTCTGGAAAAAGAGAACAGACAGCATGCAAGGTCTTTTCCCAGTAATAGGAAAAGAGTGTTTTAGGGGGCAAGTCTTTTATCCTTCTTTTTCCCTGATAATAAGGAAAAGTAGAGACAGGTGGGAATCTGAAAGTGACCAATTTCCAAACCCAGGAAAAGTCCCACTGTGGAGTTTTATGACATACAACATCCCTCAGACAAAAGGGCATCACAAAATATTGCCTGAAAAAAATTTTAAATGCATCTATTTAATATAAGTGATGCTTCTCTTTGTGAATGGTGTATAAAATTATTTTGGTTAATCTTACTACATTTTTAAAGTTTAAGAAGCATATATTTCTGAAACAACTAGACTCTAGCATTTTTAGGGGTGCTACATTTGTCCATAGATTACAAAGTGTCTTAAGATGGCATATTTCAAATGTTATGTTAAACTCTTTTAAAATAACTCTAGCTCAATTGAGCTTTCCCCAGTAGACAATTTTTTATTGATTTAGTATTTGTGTTTTGTTTTCTTCCAGATAGATTTGATAGCCAGTAGGGACTGACAACTTAAGTAATGCAAAATAATCTGGTTATGAAAATTGAGAAAAAGAAAAGTGTGCTGTCTTTTGAGGTTATCATTTCCTCGATCATTTACAAAGAGGCTGACATCTATGTCATCCTTGCTCATAGTCACAGTACACCTTTGCATGCAACCCAAAATGACACGGAGTAAGTGTGAGGTAATATGCTTATTAGCTGCTTTGTGAAACAATTTGTTTTAGGTTACAGTTCTTTTGAATCTTCTACAAACATCTTAACTGAGAGGAAATGCAAATCTCAGGTAACATTTTTAATATCTATTTTTGGCTCAATTATGATGTAACATTGACCTGTTCCAGAAATTTTAACATTACTGGGATAGACTGTCAGTGGTGGTCAGAATGACTTAGAGTTTACAAAGCATGTGGACATTCTTTTTTAAGAAAGTAAGCAAGATAATATGAGCTGTTGTTTCAGGTAATAAAGTAGAATCAAGTGATAAAACATTTGGGACATTCACAAAAATGGACTGTGACACAGCTAAATTAGTCACAATTGTCTCACAGGCCAACTTCACCATAGATAAAGCGCTATATATGCTAGTTAGCAATATTCCCTTAAAACCAGTCCTGATGTGTTTGTAAGCAGGAGCACAATTCTATGGCTACAATCAACAAAGAAGTATCAGGCCAGCCCACCAAGCCCAGCCAAACCAGTATCTCACTGCAGGTTTATAGAGATTAGCATATCACATAAGCCAAATGCCGTTGCCCAACTTAAAATATGATACTGCTACTTTGCAGAAAAAGTGTAAGCCCTATTCTGCAACACCAGTAAGATAGAGAAGCATTCATAGATACTGTGTTCAGTGTGATCCAATAATTGAAACATAGAATACATATCTTGTAACAAAACATTTTAAAATGTTAAGACATAAGAATTAGGGCTTGGATATTGAATGTCAACTGTAATTTAAATATAAAATAGAAAAATAATTAGGACTTGGAAAATAAACGATTATAGAGAAAGATGAGAAAAGATCTGGGGTTTCTCTACAGATCTTGGTCAACTCCTCTCTGTGGCAAGCTACCATTGCCATGGAAACCAGTGGGATTGTGACACTCAGGGCAGGGAGGGGTGAGATGACCAGTGAGCATCATAAGCTTTGCGGCACTGCAGCTTCCTGAACCTACCACTGGGAGTGATGCCCTGAAACCGGCCCAAAGAGACTTCTGCCCTGCTGCCTGATGACAACACTATCGACTTCCTTCCAGGCTGAGCTGGTCCCACAACCCTCAAGTGTCCATAGCCTCTCCCAGATAACCAGAAGCCTGTATATAAGTAATGCTGTGACAGCTAATAGCAGATTCATGTTGTCCAGCTACCACATCACTACGGTCATCAGTGTTTCAGTGGAGAAACACTGTTTCAAAGTAGCATCCAATACCTAAAGGTACCGGTGGCCGACTCTCCCAGCGCGCACCTCTACGATTTTTTTGATCCCATAGCTGATTGAATCCACAGCGTGAATATGAAGCAGGGCCGAGCACTGCTGCACTGTGTTGCTGGTGTGAGCCGCTCTGCCACTCTCTGTATCGCCTTTCTCATGAAGTACCGTCACATGTCACTGCTGAATGCTCAGAAATGGACCAAGTTATGCCGCCCCATCATTCGACCCAACAATGGCTTTTGGGAACAACTTATAGATTATGAATACAAGCTATTTACCAAAAACACAGTACGAATGATCAATTCTCCAGTGGGTAGGATCCCAGACATCTACCAAAAGGAACTCCATTTGATGATGCCAGAGTAAGTCTCCTGGTCAGCCCCTGACATCTGTTATCGGATCCTACACCAACATTGAAGGTGATCACTGAACTTTGGTCAGTAAAGAAAATGCAATGCCTTTCAGAAGGGCAAGCAAAGAGGGAGGACTGTTGGTGTTTCTAGCTTAGTGAGCTTTGTCTTTAAAGAATAAAGTCAATTCAGTGCAAGATGGTGACAGTATTTCTTATCCTGTGTGTAGCTGGTTATGACTGCTGGGGCCTAGCTGGAGAGGAGGGTGGGGAAGGCAGTGCTCAGCTCAGATGGGCCTGCATCTGGGTCCTGCCCCATGCTGTCTAACCCAGGAGTGACCACCCCTCCATCCCTTCTGGTTCTTTCCATGCCAAAGCCAGAGCCTTAGACATCATGTCACCCCCTTCATGATATAAAAGTCAACTTACTGGATAAGTGGGCTTCATGGGGTGCTCTGGGAGCCCTGGGGGCCTTAGGGGAAAATCAGGTCACTTTTGCCCTTACTTTCAGCCACAGTAGCCCATCTCTGATTTTGTAGATTGGATTTATGTATAAAAGAGTTTTCAAAGAAACCATTTTACTATATAAAGTTTTAAAATATTTTCAAATGCTGTACTAGATGCCACAGCCTCAAGGTACTGTTGTCAACTCTGACCAGCCTTTGTGAAAAAAGGCACTAATCTCCTTCTCCAGGGCAAGTGCTGAAAGAACAGGACTGACACTTGGCCTCAGGGGTTTCTCTTATGGGGTTTGACTTGGAAGGCTGGAGCTGCTGGCTAGGACACAGTTCTATCATCTCTGATACCTCCTCCCATTGTGACCTGGGGGCTGTGAGGGCTTCTGTTTCCTCACCTGTCAAAGCAGTAATAGCCCATCTCTCACAGGTTGGTTTAAGGTTTAGATTCCTTAGTACAAGACCTAGCAAATGAATGGTTTCATGCTTGGAGTAAAGGGCAGCTCTTGTTATTAATGATACTCATTGGCCCTGCTGGGTGGGAGTCAGCACATTCATACTCACAATGACATTTTCCACATCAATGCATAGCTCTTTTGTTGTCTACAAAGTGCTCTTTCAAAAATTCACCCTGCCTGTAAAACCAAATGGTTTAAGTTTCCTTAGGATTCTACCTCAGAGGAAGCCTAGATTTAGAGCCTTTTCAGAGTTCCCATTGTGTCACTGTGTTTAAACTATGTACAAGCAGGAAGCAAGAATCACAATTCCACACACTGCCCTCCCCCATGGCTTTGTTTACAATCACTGACCATTAAAAGCCAGCATCCCAAGGTCCACTAGGATCCAAAGAGGAATTTGCCAAAAGGATGAATGACTAGTCCCTAGAAGTAGGTCCTGGAATCTAGAACTGTTCAAACTCCCCAGGCCCCTGGCTCTTGCTTTGGAACAGCTATTCTAATCCAGACGATTTCAGACCAAAAAAAAATCATGAGACAAGAGCACAACTAGTTCAGTTAACACAGACCTGTGGGACCATAGCCCAGTGAAGTCTGAATACCCTTTGTCTCCAAGCCCACCCCCAGCTCCAATTTCATAAAAGGAGAGCCCGAGGAGGCAGTTGGGGGTGTGGGGTGCACTATGAAAACCACTACTCTAGACAGATTCCCTCCTTTTACAGGTAGAACAGTCTTGCAGAATACATGGACTGGTGTAGCAGAGCCCCCACAAAGCAGCCTTTCTATCAGAAACCCAGATGGAAAATCTTTCCTTGCCTCTTCCTGGTTTCTGGTGTTTGCTACCAATCTTTGGCGTTCCTTGGCTTCCAGGTGCATCTCTCTGATCACATGGTCATCTTTTGTAGTGTGTCTTCTCGGCCTTCACTCTGTGTATGTCTGTGTTCAAATTTCCCTATTCTTATAAGGATCCCAGTCATATTAGGGGCTCAGCATGACCTCATCTACTTCAGTATGACCTTATCTCAATTAACTACATCTGCAACAACGTTATTTCCAAATAAGATCACATTCTGAGATTCTAGAGGCTAAGACTTCATATTTTGGCATCACACATTGCAACCCATAACACAGTTGTTCCCAATTTTTGTCAAGGATGCATAAAGTGTTATAACAAACAGAGGCACAAACATACAGAAAAGGATCATGTCACCTGTGTAGGGGCTCAGAATGAGCTACCCCGAGATGGGCTTCTGTGGTACACAGATTATTTTGACCTAAAGATTTTAGCTTCAGGCTCAAGAGAAATTTCTGCCCCTCCTTTAACTACCTAGAACCTGAATTAGGGGCCTTTCCCATAATAACAGATTATCAGAGATAACCTCTTTTGATTGACCTATATGGTCAGTGCAAACTTCTAATTACTAAACACCTGCTCTTTTTATTATACTGCAATGACCTTTTGAAGCCCCCAAAGCACCTTACCTCTCATCCCTAGCTCAGAATGTTTTATATGCCCATGTTCCCTTTCTGTGTCTAAATCTCTTATGTATATGGGGCTTCTGACTCTCTCATGTATGTGGGGTTCCCATACATATGTATGTATTAAAATTGGTTATTTTATCTTGCTAATCTGTCTCCTGTCTATTTGGTTATTAGACCAGCCAAAAGAATCTTGAGTATAGAGGCAAGTGTCCCCCCTACCACACACACATCTGGAAAAAAAAAAAGAATTGTAGCTGTTTAAAAGTAAAATATGGGGTAAAATGAAAAATAATAATAACCATCATTTATTAGGAAGCTACAGCATCAGGCACTTTTTTAAAGTTGTTTTTTTAAATTCTTTTAGAGAGTTGAAGCGAGAGAAACATCAATTGATTGCCTCCCATATGTGCGTGGTCAGGATTGAACCCACAGCCTAGGTATGTGCCCTGACTGAGAATCAAACCTGCAACTCTTGGGTTACAGGATGATGCTCCAACCAACTGAGCCACACTGACTAGGGCATCAGACACTTTACAGTGTCTCTAGTCCTTACAATAGTCCTTCAGGGTAGTTACTACCCATATATTACTAATGAGAAAACAGATTCCAAGAGGTTAAGGAATTTGCACTCAGCCTAAGCGTGAAGAGGTGACATTAAGACTGGGCTCTGTTTTCTTTCATTTCTTTTGAGACAAAAGTATGTAAGTAGATGGAAAGAAGGAAGATTTTGAGTCATACCCTTAATTCTCAAATAGTGTACACATAACCAAACGCAGGTCCAGCTGCCTGCCACTACAAAAGCCAATACTTGAGAGGCAGGTGCCAATGTAAAGGACAGTGGTTTATTTGCAGATGCCAGCCATGTGGAAGATGGGGGACTCGTGTCTCAAAGCCCATCTCCCCCTCTCAGTGGAGGCAGCAGTTTTTTTATAAGGAGGGAAAGGGGAACAGAACAAACAAATCAAGGAAGGGAGTTGAAAAATTCTCCATGTACAGACAAGCACAGTACATTCCAATAAAGCAAGTAATGGTCTGGTGTGCATCATCCTGGTTTAGTAATCCCAGCTTCACCTCCTCCTGACTTTACTTCATCCTGGCTCCACTGTCGAAGGTAAGCAAATTTCCCAGAGCGGAGATGCCTGAAGTTTGGAGTCTTTATCTTTCAAAGCTAGTTCCTAAGATTCTTATACAAACATGCTGTTCATCTATAAGCTACATATTAGTCAGAGTCAGCACTTATAGAAACAATGTCAATAGAATGGTGGGATGGGTTACAATTTCCCACCGTTACAATTTTCCACTGTTAATACATACAAATCATCTAGGGGGATTTTATTATAGAGACTTGGGCCTCAACACCAGAAATTTAGGTTCAGTAGGTAATGGATAAAGTACAGGAAGCTCCATTTTTAACAAGTGTATCAGATAACTCTGATGAAGGCTGAGAAACATCAACCAGTTGTTAATACTAGGTATTCCATATCTTGTTATCTTTGTCCCTCTTTTCTGAATTATCTATTCATGCCTGTACAGTTTTCTATCCGTGTAAATCTTTTATTTTTTTCAGTTGTAAGGACTGAAATATAGAATAAGAATGCAGTACTTGATATTTCCTGTCAAATATGTTGCATATATTTTCCCCACTTTATCATGTGCCATTTGTTAATGGTCTTTCTTGCAATTCGAAAGTTTAACTTTTTATTATTAAATCTATTAGACTTTAACTGAATGGTTTGTGCTTCTAAATAATAATACTTTAAAGCTTTTCTCCATTGCATAATCATAAAAATGTTAACTATTATTTTCTCCTAATTTATATTTTTTCACTTTTAAATTTTTCTGCCAATGTTTTTAAAGATTTTATTTATTTATTTTTAGAGAGAGGGGAAGAGAGAGAGAAAGAGAGGGAGAGAAACCCCAATGTATGGTTGTCTCTCGCACTCCCCCTACTGGGGACCTGTCCTGCAACCCAGGCCTGTGCCCCGACCAGGAATGGAACAGGCAACTCTTTGGTTCACAGGCCAGCACTCAATCCACTGAGCCACACCAGCCATGGCCAGGGCCCAATTTTTTAATTTGAAAATTTTCAAGCATCCAGGAAGTTGAAAGAATATAGCACAATTAGCACCCATATTGTCTCCACTTAGGTTAATCAGTCGTTAGCCTTTTGTCATATTTGCTTTCTCTCTGAGAGTAATACACTTTTTACCCATTTGAAAGTAAGTTGTAGATATCATGACATTGAACTTTGAATATTTCAAATTGCATCACCTTAGAATAAAGATATTCTCCTACATATGATATCATTGTCAAATATAAGCCAGTTAATTACCAATAATTCCCTCATTATTTAAATTTTTCACTTAAGCTCAAAATATCTTTTATAGCTATTTATTTTCTTTCCCAAACAGGATCCAACCAAGGTCACACATTTTATTTCATTATTGTATTTGTTTTAACGTAGAATGGTGCCTCTGCTCTTTTCTCCCCATGACATTGTCCATTTGGTGAGTCCAGAAAAATTTTGTCATATAATTTCCAGCATTCTGGAATTGTCCAATTGTTTCCTCATGTTTGTACCTTTATCATCTACATTTTCATTAAACTGTAAGTTAGGTCTA